CACAAAATATTTTTAAAAATTGCAATAATATCGTATCGTGCGTTAAGTATTGTGATAATATCGTATCGTGGGATGTATGGTGATTCCCACCTCTAGTAAGACTTGCAGGTTTTTGTCTTTTTGTAAAGTCAAACCAAAATGATGACTTTGCAAACCAGATGCATACGTGCACATCACTGCTGACCTATTCTGCTCCTTTCTCGTCTCTGCTGTAATCTGACACCTCTCCAATGCATCCAGCTGAGGCCTCTCGGTGTGTGCACACTGAGCATGAAGCAAATTCAATCTCAAGAACAGCTTTTACTCCACTCCAACAAAGTGGAGACACTGACGCGCACATAAGCAGACAGATGTCTTTTAAGGTGGTCGTTGTTGTCCTGCAGTACCCACACAGAGCCAGCTCCTGTTATTAAAACATGTCGTCCACACCGAGGAATTAAATGATCTTGTTTAGCAAATATTAGAGCCGCAAGTCTGCATGGCTGCTGCCTTGTTTAGTGAAGTCACAGTCCTTCCCTGCTTTACCTAAAATCACACATCTGCTTCCCTTTTCCATTAAAGTGAATGTCGACCCTTGTGCTAACTGCTAGCAGCTAGCTTTAAATGATGCCATAGTACCGTTGGGCATTAATGGCAGCCTGAGCTCCTGTGCTCTCAGGGCTGCATGCTGCAGCACATGCAGATACGTAGACGCTACAATCAGAGATCGAAGGCTCTTTTGTTCCCTAGAAGACATTTTAATAAGTCACACAGCACAGAGCCGCTGTTCGTGCTATTAATGACAACTGCTTTTTGTAACAGTAAAATTTGCATAGTAATTAAAACAATTAAGTTTAATTTGCTTCAATATATTCCCTCCACTCGGCTCAGTGCGCTGTGCAGATGACACGCTTTTAAACATTTCTCATTGGCTCACGCCATAATGTGGCGCGCATTTATATGCATCGGATGCAGCCAAACCGACGTGTTGCCAAACATTTTCCCGTTTCTGAAAAAAGCAGATACATTTGTAAGTCGTATCCTTTGAGGAATAAATGCTGTAGGGTCTCTAAGAAGTGTCTAAATCTAGCGACAAGTCGTAAAGCTGGCAAACAGCGCTCCCAATCCCAAACTCTCCGGCCTCGCCCACCGAGGCTCCGGACGCTATTTCTGCCTCCAGTGCAGCTCGTCTCCTGAGAGGCGCACAGCTAACACTTGGAACATGCCACACATGGACACTTGTACACAAACTGCACTTAGTATTTCAAAAACTTTTGCAAGTCTTTTCTCACAGCACGCTTTACTCAGTCACACTTTAGGGAACACAGATGTAATTAAAACTGTGTCCTTGCCTCAATGTCACGTCTCAGTGCTGCAACCAAACGAGCTACAATGCTTCTGCAGAGACGATGTGTACTCGCAGCTTCTCCCCCCCCCCAACAAGCCATTTATTACTGCGATATGAAAAGGAAGAAAAGCCGTGAGCTCTGGACTTCACAAAGCATCCAGCAGCAACGCTTCTCAGGATTCAGGTGCAATGCTTGTGTTTGCATGCAGAATGTGATTTATGATGAAGCTGTACAATTCAGATCAGCTCCCAGAGAAAATTGTGTATTTTCCTGCGTTAATGTAAGATTAGAGCTGCAACTGCCATCAATCTCGGCGCCAAAGAGAGAAGCGAGTAATCAAAGCGAGGTCCATAAATCTGAACGCGACAGTCCAACAGCATGTGTGCAACTATTGTGTTGCAGCGGCTTCAAAGCAGTCTAATCAAATGGATTAGTGAGTCACAGCAATCACATTAGGAGAAAGTTTGACTTTATTATGCGATGCCAGGCCGGTTAAATGTGTGTTTGGGCCTGAGGTGAGTCAGCTAGCAGAGCCGGCTCACTCAGCATCACAGGAGATGGAAACAGACAGTTCTCATGGCAGCCGAGCCTCTTCACATTTGATTGGATTTGAATAGATAGATACTCTAAATCACCGTCTATTACTGTTCTTCAGACTACCGCTCCACTTTTTTACCACTCACAGACGCTAACACGAGGACCTTCCCATTATGCTCTCATGTTTCAGCCGCTACTGTCCGCAGAATCAATCGATTATACGTTTCTCTATAATTAAAACTCACATTTTTCAATTACTCGCTTGCACAGAAGCTGAGATTACAACTCAAAATCAAACGCGTGCAGGTGCATCACGGCCAAGGACAAATGTATTATTACTGCAGCCACAGACCGGCAGTGCTGCACGCTGGAGGCAGCCTGCAGCATCACTGAAACAAACATTAGGAGGCTCGGTCTGTTACCTGTGCTGTGACAGCTGTCACCGTCCGAGTCGAGCATCCATCCTGGATAACAGGAACACTTCACTGTGGTCTTGTACTGCTCACACACTTGGCTGCACTTCAGGTGACGGCTGCAGTAGTCCACCACCTCACACGTCTTGTTGCTGGAGTCCAGGTGAAGCCCAGGGGGACACGAACACACAACTCCTTTGCCCGGTGCCACCGTGCACTGGTGACTGCAGCCCCCTCTGGCTACAAGGCACAAATCTGGGGTGAAGAAAGGTCCCGAAATCTTAGAAAGTACACAGAGATGAATCTGTGTCTGTCTGACAGGAATCCTAAAGGTTTAATATTTAAGCATAGGAAAAAAGATGTGGTCTTTTAAACTGTGAGCTGCTGCAGACATCAGAAGTCAAGCATAAAGGTGGTGTGTAATGAGCAGGCACATAAACAGCAGGTGGTGCAGATTCATGAGGAGAAGAGTGGCGTCTATTTGCATTTAAAGCAAAGCATGAAAAAACTCATTTTTTCCAGAAATTACATAAAAAACAAGTCTTAACTTTGTGCTCCTTATCCTGTCGTAAAGTTCTTGTTAATTAGCAGCTCGAGAGGAAAAATCGAGTGAAAATGAAGCCGCCCTATTTCCCTCACTGTGAACGAGACCTGGACTTAGCAACATAAGGAGAAATGAATAAAACGCTCACAGTTGCTAAATGGTGGGTGTGAATCCTGCTGAGCTGGTGCAACTCAATCAGACCCCTGAGGTCCCATCTGAACACAGCCTCATTTTCAATGAGGAGCCAGAAGCTCTTTTAGCTACAAAAACACTTGAGGGTCCTGTAAGGCCCCCGCGAGGCTCGGCTAGTGACGCTCTCGAAAATGAACCTCCGTGTTTACGCTGCTCACTTTTAAGAGATTAGATGGGAAGAGCTGCTCACATGAGATAATCTGTCTCATCTGAAGGCTGTTGGACAAACACTTGCAGACTTCATATTCTGTCCCTTTGGTCTCAACAGACACCAGTTACATGCTGACGGGACACCGAAGAGCTCCACTGGGAGATTTTTGGCATTCCCAACATCACAACATACTTGCATATCATACGTGTGATGATGTGAAACCCTGTAAATGCAGATTTGCCTTAAACAAAGGCTTGCTTGTCTTTGTATCGACTTTCTTTGGTTCTAAACTGCTGCTACACATCAAGTTTTCATTAATCCATCCATGCAGAAAGTGCATCGTTCAAAGTTTCCGTGGATGGAAGTCATTATTTTTGACACTTTCTCTTTAGTCTGCCCACTTAAAATGATTCTTATATGAAACATTCTCTCGTGGGCTTGAAAGGTGGGTGTAAATGTTCCTGAGGAAGAACAGCCGTTACAGTCAGCTCGGATCTCGCCGTTGACAAGTTTTGTCATATGTCTAATTATCCGCTGTGTAACTTGTCAGAATCTGTTGACACTGGTATGACTCAACTACTCCGGAAACTTTTCCAACCTTTTTCTGACTGAGCGTTTGATGAGCTGTCCGCATTAGCTGTCCACAACAAAAGGCTGCGTTTGGAAACCTCAGCACCAGAAAGGAAAACGAGAAAAGCCGGGATGTTTACAAAAAGCGTGACAGCGGATGGTAAAACGCGATAAAACGGAAGAAGAGCGTGGGTGAGCTTTGCTCTGGATGTAGACGGAGTCATGTGTAGAACATTATATTCACTGGTTGATCCAGTGTTGTGGGATTAGATCATCAGTAATCATACACGACTCGTGTGTCCACATACTTTAGACATAAGACATCATTACCACAGATGGGTCCTTCGTCGGAGCGATCCGCACAGTCCACTTTGCCGTTGCAGATCTTATCGGGTGTGAGGCAGACCGAGGAGTCGTTGGCACACGGGTACTTGGGCGGCTTACACGCAGCCGACTCGCACGACTCTTCATCCGAGCGGTCCTCACAGTCGATGTCCCCGTCGCACACCCAGCTCTTTGTGATGCACTTGCCTGCAGGAGCCGAGCAAACATTAGCACAAAGCTTCCAAGCAGGTGAACGTTTGATGATGAAATCTCCTTATTTCTAAGGATTAGAAAAACAGGATTTAGAAATAAAGCTCCCTGCTGAGTGATGCATTCAGGGGAAGATGGATTTCTCAGTTCTTTTGTCATAATCTTAAAACAAACGCCATGTATTATTCCCAGAAGGCCACAGTCAACAAGCTGCCTCTCAGGTTTGTGTTTAAACCAATGAAAAAGTCCACATGCAATCAATATTCCCTGTGCTGTACAAAGGAACCTGATTGTTAAAAATGCGGGCAGAAAGATGTAGGTAGAACCACGAGGGGGGGTGAATAACAGAGACACTGGGATGTATCAGCACGCTTTTCACTTCCTCACTCAAAGCTTGTATGTTTTCCACATTTTCGATCCCACCGGCTGTGTTTGGCGCCAGATCGGTGCAAACTCACCTGGGATGGTGACGCGACTGCGTATGTTTGCTTTTAAATAAAAATGCATTCACACGACGCTGCTGATTTAACCCGTCATATTCTAAATGTCTCATTTAGTGGTACCGTAGTTGCAAAGATAAACACAAACGAGTAAAATATGCTCGACACTTGTGGCGCAGATGCTGTGTTGGGCTGTTTTTGTGCTACTGCACATGGACAAGGAGGTTAATCATTTGTGTAATTGAATTATCTCCATCCTGAAAATGTCACCTTGAACAACACAGCCTGAAAACCGCACAGTCTGAGAGCAGAGGATGGATCGGGGATGTAAAAGAAGGGAAACAGATTTTATTCAGAGTGGGCGGCACGACAGGGAAACCTCCTCCTGAGTGGATTTATTAAACATGGCTATTGCTTATTATTATTTTGAGGGTGAAATACTTTTTTATCTTCTTTCCAAATATAACCAACCTACTAAAATATCAGGTTTCATATTTAATTCAACAAAACGTTAGCGTAGCCACAAATGAGAGATGGCTACTCTCTTGAGATGGTCCTCAGTGTGGCTGCAAATGCACTTTTAAATAATAGACGAGTGCATTTACAGTGTTTTTCTGTGTGCATTTGAACATTTCTCACCAATTAGACGCTCCGTGTATAAAGACCTTTATATTTGTACATGTAGGGTCGACCTTACAATATAAAGCGCCTTGAGGCAACTGTTGTTGTGATTTGGTGCTGTATAAATAAAGCTGAATTGAACTGAATATTTGCTGATATCATCCACGTGATCCTGGCTGCACAGCAACACTGTAATACTTAGTGTAATGCTAAAGGTAAAGATCCCTGATATTAGGCAAAAGCACACACTGTATTCACTCCCATATAAATGAATGGATTGTATACAGTAGGCACAGTAATCCAGATTTATTCCTGCAATATCTGGCAGTGATTCCAGACTAGAAGTTCCTCATTAAACTGTCTCAGGCTAAAAGTTTCAAATTGAGAATAAATCCTTCCCCCCATTTAAATGTCAGACTCTCCTCCCTGTGACTGAATACTTTATCAAACAGTGTATTTAAAGGCATGAGATTAGATATTTCATGCAAAAAAATGTGCTTCTGGATAAATTACTGTGCTTGTACTATTAGCATTACTTATTAATATGTGGTATTAATAGCAGGCACCACAGTCAAGTGAAGCATCTCGCTGCATTATAGTAATTATCTAATTGGTGGTATATATCGTGCTCGTGTACCTCTGTTGCTTTTTATACTCACACAAGGACAGCATAAAAAAGAGCACACGCGTCGCTTCTGTCACGTGCACAAACTGGGAGCAGGAAGGGAAAGCTGGGCTGTGAACTGGTTTGCACATGTGCAGCACCAGTGGGGAAGCTAAATCTGATCCATTGAAGCATATCGACGGAGGAATCAGCTGATGTCACTGAGATTGTGCCTGAGCTTGACTTTATAGTTTGCTTAAGCTCCTATCACGCTAGATGCTGTTTTGTTGCTTTGTTGCATTGCTTCAGATTATCCTCTTCATCTCTGGCTCTCCTTCATCCGTCAGAGCTGCTAAGACCGGCTCGTTTAGAAAGGCTTTTTTGAATATTTCCAGAGAGGGCACTGTGTTCTTCAGAGGAGGACAGAACAAACTGCATGAGTGAACAGAGATCTGACACGGCGGAACTAGAGAGAATAATAACTGTGTGCTTTAGCCAACCTGTCACCATGCAGCAAAAATGAAAAGGAAAAGCGTTTAGTGATATGTGGAAAATTTCAGGACTGCAGATGGATTTTTTCTTACATTTAATACAAGAAGGTAGATGCTCAGTCGGGGTGTGTGGACGGTTTAAACAGACTCTGATTGGTTCAAGAACTACACGCAGATGGAAGATTCATTTATAACTCATTCAAATATTGTGGACTGTCTCATATGCTGAGATTTCACCAAGTTCACCCTTGTTTAAAGGTTTACTTACTGAACTCAAATCCATGCTAGGTTAAATTTTTATGCCTCAGGACTCGATGTTACCGCAGTCAGACCCACAGCATCACTGTCAGCTGACTAATGAAAAAATTCTGGAAAGTATCTCAAAGCTACGAAACATCAGTTTGCATTAATTGTTGAGTTACAACAACAACAGGACCACACAGAGAGGTGGTGCCTCTAGGACCGCTCGGTGTGTTTCTACCTGTCACCTGCACATTTAACTCACAGCTCGTTGTTATCATGGTGTTTAACACTGTGCTGTATTCACTACCTGTATCTTTGCAGGTGAACTTAGCCTTGGGGTCACACATCCTCTTCGTGCCCTCGCAGTCCTTCTCATCGCTCCCGTCCTCACAGTCCTTATCGCCGTCGCAGCTCCAGCGCTCCGGGATGCAGGTCCCGTCGGTGACGCAGTGGAATTCCTCGGCACTGCACTCGATCACCGGCGGCAACACTACAACAAAATTAATTTGACAATGAATGCCTTTGAGATATACAGCAAAGTGTCACGGGCAAAAACGTCGTAGTTAACTTTTATTTTAAAAGAGACGTATTGGTGGCAAATATTTATGATAGTGAGCCGGGCAGTGGCGTCTATAACAGGTCAGCAGCCTGAGAAGAATGAAGTTATTTCACAAGTCTTTAAGGTTTATGTCTCCAAGATATTTCTGTCTTCTTTAATCGCTCTGCTTAGTATATCACACACACGGGTTTCATCAAACAATGAACAACACGACGGCTGCGTGTGTGTGTGTGTGCACATGTTTAGACATCCTTGTGAGGACAAGAAACAGGCATGCTACTATACTTGTGGAGACCAACAGTCCTTATGGGGACAAAATGCTGTGCCCACCAGTTTGAAGACATTTAAGGACAAAATGTAGTTTAAGTGTTCCTCTGTGGACCGAAATCCACCCTGAGGTCCTCCTCTTCCCCCGATGAGCCTGGTCTTTTTGTTCATTAGTTTTTGTCCCGTTTTGCTTGTTAGTAATTTTGTGTAATTTCTTTGTCCCCTATTGGCTGGTTAGGGTTAGGCTGAGGGTCAGGGTTAGACATTCACTCTTCATGGTTAGAGTAAGGGGACAGGGAAAGCATATGTCAATGAGAGGTCCTCACTAAGATATGAAAACGAGTGTGAGTGTGTGTGTGTGTGTGTGTGTGTAATTGTGGAGTCACAGCCTGTGTTTTAAGAATGGTTGGGTGGGTAAGCAAAACTCGCAAAACGATACACGACCGTGCTCACCGGAGGACCCGGGCATCAAACTACCAACCTTCTGTTGAGCAGCTGACCCACCCAAGCCAGCTGATCCATAGTCAGACATAGTATCTGACTCACTGGTTCAAGCTCACCTTATTGTATATTCCGTGTGTGTTGATTTGGATGTGATGGCTTAATGCTTAAATGAAAAAACAGAAAACTATTTAACAGTAGAAGCACAGCGGAGACAAATTCAAGCCTCTGGGGTGAAGGCAGAATTAGACACAGGGGGAGGAGACGTCTGCAGCTCCCATCAGGAAATGGTTTGATGAATAGTGTACACATTCTAGTGACAAGCAAGCGAGCTGTGAGTTTTCTAGGAGCTTACATAAGGTTTGTGTGATAATTAGATTAAATGATTCAAGTCCTGATGGTAAAATTCCCGCAAACACAGAGCAGATAAGATTTCGTCACACAGCAGTGTGAACACAGAGTTAGTGGACTCGAGCTGATTAGCTGTTAAACTTGTAATTACAACACCTACATTTAAATGCTGATTTGAATTGCAACTAAATTAATTTGCACACTCAAATAAATATAAGTCAGCGCTCGTGAAGGTGGCACAGGCAGCTCGTGTGTGATGATTTAATCTATGACGGTGTATTATAAATAAACAGGTTAACACTAGCTGTTTGAACAAATGTAAGACAGGATGTGTCGGTCATTTCAAAACCTATTCATCAGCATTTTAACACGCTGTGCAGACATCGCTTACATGCAGGTCCACCTCTGCAGGTTAAGGTCTCGTCGCTGAGGTCACCACAGTCGTTGTCGCCGTCGCAGGCCCAGTGGTCGGGGATACAGCGGCCATTAGAGCACTGGAAGTGGGTATTGGAGCAAGACTGGATGCAGCCCACTTCATCGCTGCCGTCTCCACAGTCGTCATCTGCACACATGCACAAAAGTTCAGTGACAGATTATTATTATGAATGCTGGTGGGTGTAAGGTATAAGGTACATATAATCCTGGTTATAACACTAAACCATGAGGGCTGTTGCTGTTGCACAATGCACTTGTGTGTTGTGTTTGTTTGTTTTTCTCTCTCTGTGTGAACAGACTGCAAATCAATTTCCCACTGGGGACAATAAAGTTACCACTGGCCAAGGTTAGAGTCAGTTTATGCTTTCACCTGAATCGCAGTGCCACTCCACACTGATGCATCGTCCACTGGAGCAGCTGAACTGGGTGACGGGCTCACAGGTGGGGAAAACTGCACATAAACAAACATAAGTTCAAATTAAAGAAGCCACAAACAATCAGCTGTGCTTGTAAAATGTGATAGCAAACATCAGGTTTGTGTCCTAAACTCAACACTGACCTAGACTCTGAAAATTATATAAAATAAAAAAAATCAAAAACAATACCAATAATTTTTAAAAATAATCTTATTACATTTTTATATGTAAAAAATAACAAACATACTGTATGGAATCAAAGACGCCAGTCTGAGTGAAAGACTTGTGTCTCATAAATCTGTAGAATAAATGAAAATAATCTATAAAATAAAAAGGTTTTTACAGGCAGCTGCAAGTTTCAGTTATAGGAAGAAAAACAGGAAAACAAGAATGATTAAAACCATATTTCTCACATTATGGATGCACACATCACAGAGAAACTCATTCATTAGTCCTGAGATATTTCAGTCATGGTGAAACATCTTCAATATAAATGTTACTATCATGTTAATTCTTATATGAAGGTTTGTTAAAGGTGTCCATGACCATAAAACTGAAAATATTAAAAATATTAATTATTGTTATACGTCTTTCCATACATGCATTGATAGTCTGGAGCTGACTTAAATAACTTTAAATGATAATAACATTGATAAGCTGTAGTTTAAATATATCTGCTGACAGCTCACATTCATGACTGCAGGATGTTCCCAGTGTCTCACAACGCTCAGGTTTAATCTTCCGTCTCCACCACAGACTGGTAACCGTAGGGATTTTTTAGTAATAGCTTTAACCTCAGCGACCTTCCAGAGATTCCCATTTGGGTTCATTTGGGACTCTTGGGTTAGCCGTTTCATCATTTTAGTTTTTTACCCCTTTCACACAGTGACAAAGTGCATTATCTGACAGAACAGAAAAAAGTTGTCTGATTAAAGTGATGTTAGGAAAGGAACATAATGTTTGAATCAAGAATGATGGATTTTGAGATGTCCAGCATCCTTCTGATTCTTCTGCTGATGACACACTT